CATGAAACTAGTTCAAATCTTCATCTCCCATCATGACTCCCTGCAAATGGGATCTGCCTGGGTGTGGAAGGTTTTTCTGGAAGTTTTTGAATCTCTTCTGCAAAGCTTTCCAAAGTGTGACTCTGCTAACTGTTGTCACCCAAAGCTCAAGCTTCGAAGGGTGATGCAGGTTCAGGATCCAGCATGGGAGTCACGCAGGGGTGGATAGCAGAAACAGCTCGGTGAGGGGCTGTCTGGTCATCATCACATCAGGGAGAGCCACCCTTCCCTACTCACTCAGCCAGCAGAGCAGGGCCCAGGCCCGGGCACCGGCGCCCTCCTTCTGTGGCAGCTGCAGGGGCGAAGCCAGGGATTGGAAAGGTACCACGCTGCACTTTAAAGTAATTCTACACTTGAGAATAGAAAATGAATTTTGCTAGGATTTGTGTAAGATGAGCTGCTTAGCAAATCACTGCCATCTAATTATAAAAAGAAAATTATGTTTCTTCTCTCTCTCTATTCCAAATATATATGTCTACCATTTAAATGGCATTTGCTTTGGGCAGGCAGGACCAAACTGTGCTCTGCAGCCTGGCCTGAACCCACAGTGGTCAAGGTAAGTGCTTCTGAGAGTAGGTCAACTTTTTTGCAAGGGATAAATCCAGGAGCACCCACTCGCCCTGCTCCCTGGTAGTTTCTCCCCAGCTATCAGCCACCTGGATGGAGGCCCAGGGTGCACCTGCTGAATTAGATGGGGACAGGAAGCTGAAAGAGCCAGTATGCAGAAACTCAGGAGCCAGGCTCCAAAGTCTGCTTCAGGCTGAGGACAGGCCCAAACCAGCCAGGCTTAGTGACCAGGGAAACAGCTGCAAGTCCTGCCTTCCCATGCAAAGGATGGAGTCAGTGCACAGTAAATGGTTGCATGTCTTCATGTTGGATACCGGCACGTGGTGTTTGTCGTGTGATCCTTTACATTTTCATTTTTTTATTTTTCAAAATTAAAAAATAAACCAAGTGCACAGATGACTTAGGGGTTCGCAGCTGACAATAAGACTAATGGGAGTCAGGGAAAACCACAGCCTCCCAGGCTCTCTCTGCCTCCCTGCACCAACCAGCTGCTTCTGTGCCTCTGTGGCTCCAGCTGCCTCATAACATCCTCATGCATAGGCTGCTCTGCCCCCTCTCCTCACGCATGGGGCCTTTGCTCCACCGCAGTACTGACCATGTATGGTCAGACCCCCGAGGGACATGCCCCATGAGCACCAGGAAACAAAAGACATGTCATTTTTGGTCTATCTAGTTCTGGGAGCAGCACAGGGTAATTAACAGAAGGACCATGTGCTTGGGGACCAGATGGACCTTGGTCAGATCCCTGGACTCTGCTTTCCTCAGGCCTGGAGGTGGCCTATTCAACCACCCTGAGTCTCAGTTTCCACATATGTAAAAGGCCAACGGCAATTGCTGTGAGGCTAGACGTGGCTAGTATAAGAGTGTCTAGCCCAGGGCCAGCCCACAAGTCTTTGCTGAAGGGAGTGAAGGAGGAAGGAGGAAGGAGGAAAGGAAGGGGGAAGGGAGGGAATGAAGAGAGACTGATGGTCTTTAAACCATACCAGTCGAGGAGCAGTTGAAGAAAGTGGAGCTGGTGTTGGAGAAAAGGTAGGATTGTCAGAGATTCATGTGGTACAGAGCCAGTGGGGGCAGGTTAAGGGGAGAAAGGAAAGAACTTTGCAAGGACAAGAGATTCCCAAGTGGAAAAGTGGATGGATTTGGCGGCAGCAAGCTCCCTATCTCTAGAGGGGTCCAGCTGAAGCCAAAGACCCACCACACCCTTCACAGGCTGTAAGGAAGGGACTTCCCTGTTGAACATTTCCCAGCCTTTATTCAAGGGGGCACTTTCCCATTTGGGCCATATTTATTTACTAGTGAATTATTACTGGCTTAATCTTTACCTAAAAATCACCATAGTTCTTTTTTTTTTTTTTTTAAGTTTTTTGTTGTTGTTGTTGTTGTTGTTGTTTGTAATCTCTACACCCAACATGGGGCTTGAACTCTAGACCCTGAGATCAAGAGTCGCACATTCTTCTGACTGAGCCAGCCAGGCACCACCCCCCCCCCATACTTTTTAACTTAAAATCTCTCTCTAGCTTTAATTTGAACAAAATATCCATTTAAAAAATGGGTATGATGTGATGTTTGGGTTTTTTTTAAGTTTTTATTTATTTATTTTGAAACAGAGAGAGAGCAAGTGAGCTGGAGAGGGGCAGAGAGAGGGAGAGACAGAATCCCAAGCAG